TGGCTGGTCCCCCCCTCGGGACACACACACACACACACGCACACACACACACGCACGCACACACACACCGTGCGGTCCTTCCGAGGGGCCGGGGGCGGCGAAGGATGTGGAAAAATTAAAATAAAAACATCAACTTTCCAGGAGGGCGTTCATCACCCACGCGCGGTTTTCCGCAAAGAAAATAAGCGCGGGGGGAGAGGGGGGAAGAGGGTGACTTCTCAGAGGGGTTTTTGGGGGTCCCCCCCCCGGGCCGCTGGGCCCCTCTACCCCGCTGCGCTCCCCGAAGGGGGATGCCCGAGCCTTGAAAATCAAGGAGCCGGTCTGGAGTCAGCCCTGCTAGTTTGCCCCTAGGAAAAAAAAAAATACGGTCACACACAGGAAAAACAAACAAACCAACGGAAAAACAACAGCAAGAAAAAAGAAAAAAGAAAAAATTCAAAATCGAAGGACTCGACTTCTGAACGCTTTAAAAAGAAAAAAAAACCACCCAAAACCAAAACAACAACAAACAAACCAACACAAAACCCACAACCCCAAACATCTCCAAACCAAAATAAATCCAAACCCCAGTGTTAAAAAAAAAATCGCCTACAAATGGCATGAAATCTCAGCCTCCTGTTTTTACCTTTCCGCCCTACGTACCTTAGAGTCCCAAGCGCCGAGCGGCAGCCGTACGCTCAGATAACGGGGAGCGCTGCTGCTTTTCTAAACACTGGGCTCCCCAACAATGCGAATGGCTCTCCATTGAGGATGCTGCACCGTGCCCTTCCTTTAAACGGATCATAAAATGGGTTTCCTTCCCTCAGACGGGGAGTCCTGGTAAAGACAGCTTTTACTGCCTGCCTGTATTGCACATCATAAACTGGAAGGAGCACAATGGAATTGCCCCGGAAATTCTCCTTTCAATTATAGTTCGGTGCCCTGTGTACAAAGACTTTCTCACCACTTAAAATTGTGGTTGGCGATATTTCGCACGGGCTCTAAACTTTACGTTTCGTAAAAGTGAGACACCCTCTCCCCCCGCACACACCTCCAACACACACACACGCACGCACCCTTTGGGACTCTTTATGTGCGGTTATTGCAGCCCCATGAATATTGCTCACTGACAGAAGCGAGCGTATTCTCTAAAGCCAGATCCCTGAGATATTTGTGCTTCGGAACATACAAATGTGGGGCTGTATCTACATTATTTGCCAAGTGTTAAGCACGTGAAAACGCAGTTATTATTCGCAGGCGTAAGGGAGAAGCTGGCTAAAGAGCCCCCTTCGGTTATTCCTCACAATTCTCCAATATTAGACAATATCCCTGCGGTCGCAACCGTGATGTGGGAGCGCGCCGGCACAAGAGGCTGCTGGAAAGTAATAAAGGCCCAAGAAGTTGAAACGAATGCGAAGCAAACAAGACGACGACTAAGAAGATCAAAGAGGCTGAAATAGATGACATTAGACCAATAAATTGCTCCTCTGGTGACAACATACCAAAATGCAAGAAGAAAGAAACAGCAAATATAACCAATGTCTAGATTTAAATATGGATAGCGTAGGACGGAATAGACCAGATGGGTGCTTGGGTTTCGAGTTCTCTGATTCTGCACAGTTCGCACGTTAATATTTTTTATTTACGTGTGTGTGTTTGCCTCCGCCACCTTTTTGTTGTTGCTGTTTGTTTGTTTAGAATATATATTTTCCTTTCTGCTGGATTTTTCCCCTGCCGACCCTTAAGATTTCTCAAAAATTCTTCACTGAATAAATCATCAAAAGACCCCCAGACATGGGTCCCCGACACCTTATTTACTTCCCTCACCCTCTGCGTGTAAGGCATAACGCTGCCTCTGGAACAGCCTCTGAAATATCTTGTTTTGTCGCAAACAAAACCAAGCTAGATCCCCGCGCCTGAAAACGCGATTTTCATTTGGATGTGTTTTTTTTCCAGCCGAGGAAATGGCGAAGGAGGGCAGATTGCAAGGCTTTGGTCACCGCAATATACTCGCACGCTTTAAAAACAACTCTCTAGGCGCGATTAATTGTATTTTATTATTATTATTATTTATTATTTATTTTCTTGTGAGGTCTGAACTACCTCTCTTTGCCTTCTGAGCTTTTCCGGGAAGTAAAAGGTAGTGATAAAACGATGCTCATAAGTTATAAGCGACCTGGGAGCACTACACGGTTATGGCTTGTGTATTAAGCAGTATCTTGATGTGGTTCCTACTAGGGAGGATTTTGTTGTTTTGAAATCTGTTCTCGCCGTAATTTGCCCACGATTATAATGGAGAGTACTGTGCCAAGTTGTTACTTAGTACGACGACGCATAAGCTCTTTTTAATTTCACTATAATTTTACTGCCCAAGGAGAAAAAATAATTAATCATAAGAAGTTTAGCAATGCCATTGTAGACAAACATTTCATAGGATGGCTCTTGTTAGAAAGCAGGGAGTGGCTGTTAGTCTTTATCCCTAGAAAGAATTAAATCTTTGAAACGCTGCGGAGAAAAAATAGCCCAGTGCTCAGTGCTTCCCGACGCTGAATTTCGATAGATATTGACTTTGATTTAAGGAAACGTAAATAAAACGCAGAGAAAGTAGTTCTGTTAGGGAGTACTATGCAGAGAATTGTCTATTTTCCTGGCTTTAACTTGAAAAAATACAGCGTGCGTACTTGGGTCCACATTTTATGTTTTCTTTGCTCCTGCCTTTATTTTCCTTCCAATTACTTTCCTCCCCTCTCTTTTGGCAACTGCTATCTGAAAATGCTCCACAGTTCCCCACTAAGCCTCATTTTCAAGACGCGAAAGCCAACAAAAGCAGAAGGGGAAAAAAAATTCGAAAACGACTCGAGGAAATAAAAATTGAAAGCGAGGAGAAGTTAGGAATGACTTTGAGAGACACGTCAAGTTTGCCCAGCATCAGCCTGTTCGCATCTGTATCGTATAATTACAACGGGTCCCACAGCTGAAATTGCTGGGGACACAAGCAGGGCTTTTTATTTCTATTAAAGACAGCTGCTGATGAATTTCTCTCTCCGGTAAACAGTAGTCAAACCAGAGGTTTGCGGAGCTGGCTTTGCCCCGCACGGCTGTGTCCCCAGCTATGCGGGGTGAAGGGCATTGGAAAATCTGTCGCTTCGCCCCCCGCTCCGAGGGAGAACCTTTTCGGGGGCTCTTCTCTCGGGCTGATGCGGGAAGATCCTCTTCCATCCTGCCCGAAGCCTTCAATTCCCACTTTCTCGAAATACTTAATTTCTCCCCAGCCCTTGGGCAGGTCAGGACACCCCGTTTTGCAGGCTCAGAGGTCCGCCAGAGAAGGGCGAAGGTTTTGGGCAAGGGTAGGAGGAGCTGGCATTCCAATGCCAAGGCTCCATCGGTCTCTACAAGCTAATAGGAAATGCCCCGATGTTGGGAGATTAATAAATGCAGGGTACGTCCTTGGTGCGCAGCAAGATTTACTTAAGCCACGAGTTCACCGAGCGTGGCTGGGCAGTAAACGCCGTCTTACCCGCTGCTGGTGGCAGCGCGGCGTCCCGGGGTAAGGCGAGGGGGGGGTGAAGAAAAACCCAACCCCCACCCTAAACCGGCCGGCCTTCGGTAACACCAAACCAGCAGCTCGAAGCCCCGGTTATGCTCCCATCAAGTCGACATTTTAGGAGCTGTCGGGGAGGCGGCCGAGCGCTTGATGG